CAGAAGCTTTCTCTGCACTACTGTCATGGATTTATCATGCCCAATTCACATTGGATGTGAAAGGACAGTATCTCAGACTGTATGATAACAGCTTATAGTCCTAGGAAAATATAGCTGAATATAGCTGAATGTAGGCAATAAAGTTTCCTTTCATGTCTCACTGTCAAGTTCAGGCTCTCCTTGTATAAAGTTTACCAAAGCACTTCCTTTGCTATCAAGCCCTTGTGTAATTGAAGTTTTTTGTGTATTAACTAAATGTCAACATGGACTTTAAAAAAGCCTTAAATATTAGGTCTAGGCTAGTATCTACAACATAACAGAAAATAAAAATAGTCAAGAGAACAAAAAAAATTACCAAAAAACACCACCACCACCCCTAATAACTTAACAACAAAATCCAATCACACAACTTATTCTGTCTGGGGAACAAGGTGGTCTTGATTCTGATCTGGTCTTCACTCCAACAGATCAGATCAAAATGCCACCTAAATCAATGGAGAAAAAGCAGAAATCTGAGATATATGAAGCAGCATCCCTGCAACTGTTGGTGACAGCTGAAAGTTTAAAAGAGATTAAAAAACAAAAAAAAGGCCATTTAAAAATAGCTAAAATAGTTACAGCACTTGAAAAGACAAATGCCATTCAGGATACATAAGAAATTAAAACACAGAGCATATTATTTATATATTTATTACACTAGGTTAAATCACTTTCAGAAAGCAAAAAAGTAGTAACAGATTTTGGTTGTTTTGGTAGAAAATCTGCTTCCCCTTAGGCTCTGTCTATAGACAATAAAACCAGCTCCTGGCTCACACTCTCTTGGAGCCTCTCTTCCTCCACTGACAATGGGAGAAGGTTTAAGAACCCAGTCTGCAGAGGCTACAGTAGCTATTGATGACCACATTACAAATAAGACAATAATTGTGAATACTGGCAGATGTGTTTCCTCAGAAAAGCATTACTTTCCACTATCTCTGAATACCTAAGCCTAAGAAACACAACATGAATAAGCTGTTGAAAGTGAAAGCGCTTCTATACACAGCCTTCAGCTACAATTAATTTTAAAAATATATTTAAAATTGTGAATTCAAAATCAACATATTTCCTATAGCAGTATCATGGCTGAGCTTTCAAAACACCCTAAGGGAGTGAAGTTCTGAGCTCACAAGCCTCCAAGCACCTGGAAAAATCACACACCTTTACACAGGGATCCTAGCCTGGCTGCGGTTTTAGAGCACAGCAGAAATTAGAAATGCATCTGACACCTATTAAGGCTTTTTTATTCATTTTCTGTGCTTCCTGCTTTCCTGAACTCTGAAAATACTCCCAGCACACACCAGAAGATGCAGTCCTCCCAGCACATGGGTTATCCCACATGCACAGCCAGCACGAGAGCCAGGCCGGCAGAAGCAGCAGGCAGATACACACACACCTACATCAAAGCTTTCAAACTGAAAACAGGAAAACAGATCTGATCTGGCAGAGGCTGAAAGCGACAGGACACAAACTCTCCCTGCAAACACAACTCTACAAAACTTATTTAAAAAATTGAAAATAATATTAAAAAGGTGAATTTCATGGGTGTTGCACATGAATTAATCAGCCCTGAGAAACAGCCTGCCCTTGCTTATCAGCCAGTGGGTGAGAGGTGGTAAGACACTTCAAAGGTTCTGCTTGGTATTTCATGAGTTAAATGAGTTATACTCAAGGAATCACCACTGATATGTAATGGAGAGAATGGAAGAGATCCTCACTGCAGTACACTTTCAATTAAAGAACTTCAATTTAAACTTATAACTTAAGTAGAAAGCATAGTAAAGAAAGTTCTAGTAACATGAAGGTGTTATCACTTCATAACAGACACAGAAACTTGGAGATATATCCCAGCTTTGGGTCTATCCATGCCATGACACCAGGGGAAGCAATCATTAGGGGACAGATAATGGTAATGGAGTAGCACTGCAGCTTTATATACTGGAATGTACAGAAAAACAGCTCAAACTCTACTCATCTTGTGTTAGAAATGTTACACAAGAGCTGTCTTCTAGATCTCACTGCCTGACACTTCAGTGAAAACCAAACATGCATTTTTCAGTGGAAAATAAAAACAACTGGGTAAAAAATTCTAGGGGAAAACCATCTGAACACTTGGGATTACAGACAGACCTACAGTGACTTTTTCCTACACCAGCCAAGTCTGCAGTAGCTTGTCATGCCTGATTTTGGCAAGGGCATTACTAACCATAAAAAGTTAACTGCTGATCTTTCATAAAGCAAACACTCATTTACTTAAGTGTAATTTCAGACAAACCAAGCTGACAAGCATCAAACATCCCAGAAACCTCAACTGCATGTATTAAATCACAAGTAATTCTTGTTTTCCTGGACTCCTGCACTTAGAATTTAAGCCTACACACAAAGGTGATCACCACTAGTCAACAAAAGCTGTACATAAAGACACTTAGGCTTTTTACAAGCACAAAACTGAAATGCATTTTTTTGCAAAAAAGTTCAGTGGTGCAGTAAGACCAAGCAGAATTTAGAACAACTCAATTTATTTTACTTAATCTTTTTATAACTATGTATCTATACTACCCTATATTTCATTTAGAATTGTAATTTATTTCCATTGAACAGAAGTCTACTTTAGCACGGAAACCATATATGGTTCCATATGGTAATTTTTTATATTTATTCATATTTATGAATGAACTGGTAAATACAGATTGTCTTAATACACTTGCTTCAGCCTTCAGATTTTTTGTCCTTAGGTTCTGTCAGCTTTCAAATATTATTCTTATTCCTTAATCACATGTCCTGACAGTAGTCTCATTCCCTCCAGTATTCCTCAATGTCCTCTGGGACATTTGCCAGTTTTTGTCATCTGCCCCCATTCTCCTTTAGGAACACTAAAGGAATTAATTTCATTCTTTCCCCAAGCAATGCCTGTCTCTGCTGTTAGCAGTTACCACTGGCATCTTTCATCCACTCAATACACAAAGGTCTCTGTCTCCTTAAGTGATCCCACAGTACTTGGAAATTGAACAAATCTGTAGAGAAATACCTCTCATGCTCTGCATTTTCTTGCTTTAGCATTTTATAAAAAAATTCTTCTAAAAGATGGAATCCCAATACTTCAATTTTTCATGTCCCACCTTATTTTTGTTAGTTCAACAACTTTATACATCTAGGCATGACTGTGCCTCTGTGTGCCAGAGATAAGAATTTTCATTGTTTAGACATGGCTGTTTTGATCCACTACGTATATATGCTATTTCTTCTGTTATTTTCCCACTACTATTTTGCCCAAACATCTTATCTGAATACTTACAGAATGAGTTTTAAAGAAGTGTCTTCTGATACCTTATGTACAAAAAAAAAAAAATAAAATAAAATCCAGTATCTTATTCCTGAACTTTAATTTCCTAGTAAACACATTTCCATAATGACAGACTTTTTCAATCAACTGATTTAAAATTTCTTGCTCAGTTCTGCATTTGAAAATAAGTTGAAGTTTTACCTTTGACCCACCCTGACAAGAAGAATATTCTTATGAGTTATGCATTGCAGTTCCTTACAGTATGGAATATTGGAAGTCATACCACAACTTTCCAATAAATGCAGTCAAATTCAATATATTCTACAGCTCCTTTCTGCCATTACTACTCCTTTATCAGATCCCACCCATCCTTTTGTTTGTTTATCTGGCATCTGAGCAGGGTTAAGTAACCTGCACTGTCACCAGCTGCCAGACAAGAGGGCTCTTGCTGTGGTTACCTCTCCAACTTCCTCAGTTAAGTATCTTCAGCTTCCTGAGTTACAAACTCACTACAGCAAAGGCTGCATCACTTACCAGCATATCAGATGCAAAACAAGCCAAAATCTTTAATAAATTGTCCTTGGATTTGTTTACTCTACAGACCCAGCATTTTCTCAAAGGAACAGTGAAAGTTAAATGATACCAATTCACAACATTTTTCAGGATCAGTACATTCCATGAAAGAGAGCACACTACTGAAACATTAGATACAAATATTTAGCATCTCTATATCCAAACAAAGTACAGATTCTGCACTTGGGCTGCTGACAAGCCACATAGTTGAAGGAAGATTTAGAAAGATGACAGCCAAGTACTCAAAGAACCTTTATTCTCCTGACTCTCACCAATACAAGAGCAGCTGTCAGATTTTACTGAACAGGTTACAGACACTAATTTCGATATTACCATTACCATTAACGGCAGCCAGCAGAAATACAGATCTCTTTGACTTGGAATGAGCAAGCAAAGCAGCTGAGACTTCCAAAATCCTTCAGTGGAAGAATCCCACTGCAGCCACATCCTGAAGCCCCTGCATCAATGCAGGGTTTGGCACTGGCACCATCCTGCCATGGAATTCAACCAGTCCTGCTCGGCAGCAAGGTGCTTGTCTCTTAAAAGAAACCAGCTAAACTATTAAAGCAAAGCACATACAAAAGAGAAAAGAGATAAAGGGGTCGGAAGAAGATGAAGATTCACTCTAGAGAAGATAGAGCATACAGCATCTAGAAAAGGAGGGAAAACTCTAGAAACATCTGATACCCTCTACAGGACAAATCCATGGCATTCCAGGTAGGATAATAAACCAGCCATTCGTGGAAGACCAAAACAATGAACTCTTTAGGGGAAAGCTGCTCCCATACAGGCTGTAGCTTTAACTGAGGCCTCAAAACACGAACACGAACCCACCACTAAATAACAAATGTTATTAACGAAGGGAAAGACCTGAAGCCCCAAGCAAAAGAATGGAAGGGGCAACCTTAGCCTGTGAGAACAGCACAGGAAGCTGACAGGCAAACACAAGGGCAGGACGCGGAGGTACCGCTGAAGGAAACGCTCCCCGGAGGTGCCAGGGCGATGCTGCCACACACGGAGGAGGGACCCGCCGCCCGTGCGGGAGCGGGCGCCGGGCGAGCCGCCCATCAGCAGCAAAGCCCGCCGGGCCCCGCCGCGGCCCCCCTACCTGGCTGGCTTTGTGGAACTGCTTCTTGAGCCCCGCCACCGACATGGTCCCGCCGCCGCTGCCCCGCGGCCGCCCGGGCCCAGGGCCGCCCGCGCCCGGCAGGTCCCCGATGTGGCGGCAACGCCGCCCGCCCATTGGCCGCTCGCCGGGATATGTAAATGAAGCGCTGGGAGACGCCCACGCTGCGCTGTCGCATGGAGACAGCGGCGGGAGCCGGGCGGGGGCTGCGCTGGCCCGGAGGGGGCACGGCGGGGGCGGGGAGCACCCACAGGGCATCCACAGGGCACCCCTGCCGAGGGGAGCACCGCCCGGGCACCCACAGAGCATCCACAGGGCACCCCTGCCGAGGGGAGCACCGCCCGGGCACCCACAGAGCATCCACAGGGCACCCACCCGCAGGGAGCATCGCCCGGGCACCCACAGAGCATCCACAGGGCATCCCTGCCGAGGGGAGCATCGCCCGGGCACCCACAGAGCATCCACAGGGCACCCCTGCCGAGGGGAGCACCGCCCGGGCACCCACAGAGCATCCACAGGGCACCCCTCCTGCGGGCAGCACCGCCCGGCATCCACAGGGCACCCGCCGGTGGGGAGCACAGCCCCGGCACCAAAAGGCCAGTCAGCTGCCTGGTTTAATCTGTCTTATTTCTAATAAGGCTGAAAATGTCTCATTACGGCTCTGTCTCATTTCTTGTGGTTCGACGCAGCATCTCTGTCTGAGCTCATTAACCTCAGGTCCATTATTGCAGGTGGTAATTTAATGATAGTTCTTAAAACATGAAGGCTCTTGCAGCAGCCCTGAACTCACCTGGCTGGTTCTGTGCACCAGAAAAAATCCACTTGGTTGTGTGGCTCCATACCTGCAGTGATGCTGCTCAGGGTTCCAAAGGGCACAGGCAGACTAGAAAGAGCTCTGCTGAAAAGATGTTTTGGTTGTTTGGTTGGTTGTTATATGAGGATTTACTGATTATATACTGAAATATGACTGTGTATCAGGAATGTGCTGATATAAATTAGAGATGTGGTTCTGCCTTCATGGTAGAGCAATTCCAAGCGATGCTTAGATTCTGGGGAAGATAAGCTCTGTGATAATGCTGCTTGATCCTGGCTGTAAGGATACTTGGGAGTTATGATTCAGCTAGAACTTATGCAGGGACCTGGGGAGCAGTTCAGAGATAAGCTTTGCTGGCTGCAGCAGGGCTCTCTGTTACTCACTGTCATGCTCACTGCATTTTGATTGGGTTGGGAGAGAAAAACATTTTCAGAGTGTGTTAGAGTTACTTTAGAACAGCAAAGAAGAAAAAATACAAGAACTTTCATACTGGTTGTCACACTGTAATTTGGGAGAAAGGAATCACTGTTCCCATTTCTTAGAAAAAATTATTATACCACTAAGAAACAAAGTGTAAGGAGAAACACATTAATGAGTTTTGGATCTGGCTGTTACTTGACAAAGGACTCTCTGTAGAGGAGAGGCAGAAGAGAAAGCAAAGAGGAGAGCACCAGTCAACATTTGCTCTGGCAAACAAACTGTTAGGTGAAGTCCTCAGGGATTTGGTGATGTTTGAAAGAAGCCTGCCATGACCATGTTATCTGGTGCCACCTGTGTCTAGGGAAAGAGCATTTCTGGCCTCTTTACAAGTTAACATGATTACACCACAGACACCTGATTTCAGCAGTTGTTTCTCCTCCCTAATTGAAACTGGCAGCAAGATGTTAACTGTCAGAGCCGAATTAGTTATGGCTTAAATGAGTGACGTGTTTGTAGACACTTCAGGTGAGGAAATAAGGCCTAACTAGGATATTTGAGCTCCATAAAAGGAATTAAAGCAAGCTTTTACTGTGCTATGGAATTAGGGAGACAAGGCAGCTTTGGCTGATCTTCGGCTTTGGGAACGGCTGGACCAGAGCAAAGGAAGGAGTTTGAAATAAATCGCTGTGGAGGGGAATGAATGGATTATAGAGTTGCTGTGGGTGTTAGCTGTAAAATTGGATTAGATAAAGAACTTTAGTAAGGCTGCATGTCTACAACTTCTTTTTTTTTTACAAAAATTCCTTCTTGTAGCCCAAGGATAGCAGCCATGTTGTGTCTGCTGAAGGGGTGCAAGTAGGAAAGGACCTGTGGAGATTTCACTTCATAGCCTAATTGCTCAGTGATATAGACAAGGTGAAAACCTAATTAATGAGCCAACTTGTGTAGTTCAGGTGGAGGCACCCTGAAAGACACTGGTATTCATTTCAGATACAAGTAAAAGGTATAGCTTGTAGCCAGCAAGACACAGTGGCTAAGGAATTTCTAGAAGGCTTTATAATCACAGAGTTATATTTCATGGGAAAAACAAGGGATTTTAATTTGCTGGGTGATAATCCTTAAGTTTTATGCAAAATTAGTGATTTAGTCTGTAAGATGAGAGAAATGAGAAATACTACAAAAAATTTGGGAAGTGGTTCATGTAAATGCTGATGTGATGGAAAAAATGCTTCTATTAAAGTTGTTAGAAGACAGGCTAGGACATAGCACTACAAGGGCAGAGTGAAAAATGATTCACAGAGGGGGCCTTCAGGGCAAAAGTTCTAGATGTCTGGGTATTCAAACAACAATTACACTTCTACTACTCAGGAAACAGGAAAGTGCATGGGACAAATTTGTAATGGCTCCACCATGTCACTGAATCAGGTGTGCTAAAATGGACAATGGAATTTGCACAAACTGAGAACTCCTAACTGGGCTCAGATCAAGGTAGTGACTAGAAAATATACACTGCCTGCTCACATGGGAGAACTGTGCTTGAAAATTGGTCCTATGAAATTCAAACAAGATAGAGTCTTGAATAAAAGGTTAAATTTATAATTCACTTGCATTTCAGCGTGGTTAATACTATGGAAAAAACACTGTCATCAGAAACTTAATCTAAAGATATGATAAACAATCTTACAGGTGTTCGGTTTTCAATGAACAAATCATCTTACTTGTAACAGCTGAAATTGCAGTAGTAGCCATACAAAGTATTAGGTTTCCAGCAAAATGAAAACTAGAAGTATTTTTTAAATTATCTAGAGGCATCTTAGCATTTGGATTTACTTGGAATTTGAAACCAACTACATTCACATTCATTTAAATGTCTCTTAAAAATAATGAAAACTGTCGTTGAAATATAGTCTGGGTCTTGGGTGGTTACTGCCATAAAAGAAAACATCAAAAAAGGGAGGAAAGATGACTTTGCAATAAACTTCTATTGTATTTGATTCTGGACTATACTGACTACATTATTAAAGCCTTTTTTTTTCTTTTAATATTTAGGCCTGAAGGAAAAGATAAATTACTGTGCATCAGCTTATGATGCAATACATTTCAACACAAGGTATTAGAAGGAGACTTTGGATGTACTCACCTGATCCAGCACAAGAGCACCTACAAACAACAGTGAGCAAGACTCTCAGACATGGTGTGATATCCATTAATGGTCTGTAAGGATTATCTGTATGTAATGACAGTGCAGATTACCTGGTTAGTTTTCATCTTAGTTGTCAAAATTGTGGCAATATGCTGTGGTTTTGGTCACAGGAAGAGGGCATACCTGAAAATTATTGTTTAGAAAACAAGCATTTGGAAAAGACATTTTCCTCTAGGAAAACGATGCCATTTGAAAGAACAGTTGGCCAACAACCCACTCTGCAAGAGCAAACTTGTAGAAAGCCTTCGAAGTAAAGCAGGCTCAGATTCACCTCGTGTGACAATTCTAGAAAAAAGAGAGGATTACTAAACTCAATTGACACTGACTCTTAAGTTTTGACCCAAGCAAATGAAGTAATATAAAACATAGTGTTCCAGAGTGAAATCCAAAGGACTGGAACACTTCGTGAAATTGGTCCCAAATGTCATCCATTTCATTATTTTACAGGTGTCACACAACAAACTTGGGAGCTGACACTGTGAAAGCAATGCAACAGCAAATTACCCCAATAACAAGAACAGAAAAAGATCCTTCTGCAAAATATGCCCAGGATGGTAAAGATATCTCATGTGGCTGTTTTAGCAGCCTTTCTATATATTTACATGAAATAATTATTTATAATTAAACAAAAAGAATTGGTCACACAAAGATGTGTTCATGAGCAGGAGCAGGCCAACACTACATTTTTGTTTCTAGAACACTACCAAGCAATTCTGCAGATCAGCACATTCTGCACAGATCAACTGGCTCAGGTATTTCTGAAAGGGCTTTACATTGCAGTATACATTTCATAAAAAATCATGAGAAACGGAAAAGAACAGTTTTCCCTCCACAGCCAGCACTGGCCAGCACTTGGAAAGCTCCTCACTCCAAAGGGACACTGCTGGCAGTTAGAGCAGGAATATGTGACCCTGGGGCCAGCAGACACTCTGGCTAACCTACTGCAGTTGTTTAGGATGCTCATGTTTGCTCCCCAGATCTTCTAACTAAATGTAGCTAGTGAATTATTTTTGGCATATGTGACTGTTCTTCTCAAGCTGACTTTCCATATGTGTTGCTTTACCATTATGCAGATCTTTGCTTTTCTTGTCTCCTTCCTGTGTTTGTATTCCACACGCTTCTCTGTGATACTGCACATACCTTCTGTCCTCACTTTGCTAAACCTCTGGCTGCTGTTCTGCAAGTGTCAATAACAAAACAAAAGTTTGTTAGGTCTTATGCCATTAATAAAGATGGTTCTAATTATGTGTTTATTTTAAAAAGACATATAAACAATTCAGGTGAATTCAAAAATCTAGACAGAATTTTTTTAAAGTTACATATCTGTACAGTCTGTACTATAAGTATATACTCTAATTTTAAACTCACAAACCTCTTTTTTTTTTTGTGTATGTAGCTCTGTCATTCAGAAGTTTCTAAAAAATAGCAGTCCTAATCTTGCAAACCATGTGGATGGACTCCTGGACAGCTCCAGCTTGGAGATCTTGTAACTTTTAGGTGCCTATGTTGTTCCTGGTATCACTAAAACAAAACAGGTTTTGTATTTAACACATACCTGAGCACTCAGTGCTCTCAGACAACACCAGGCTGCTCAACAAAATTAGTTATGTATGTAAATTGAAATAAAGATGTGACCGTCCAAAGTTACTCCACA